ACTAACTTGAGAATTTTAATATGCATTATTGCTATTAGGTTTTATGCAAGAACATAAATACTATTAATATCTATAAATACATATGAATTTCTAAATGTATTTCTGAAAAAATATAACATGGATCCAATAGATGTGAATGAATTTAGACCTCACTAACTAAAACATGTCATCAATAATTTAAGTTAACTGATCAGTACCAATATTGACCTATGTAGGAATAATCAGGCTCTTAGTATTTAATATTAGGGAAAGTACTTACTGTAAACTGCAACTTATTCATTTTACCTTGTTTTACTTGGTAGCAACAAATGTTTTATGGCATAATACATAGTTCCTAAAATTAACAAAAGATACTTTTTTTTCCAAACCTTCCTCCTTGATGATAATTTGAGGCCAGACTCCCTCTTTCACTTAGATATGAATGAATCAGACCTGAAAAAATTTGGGGGCATATTCAACACCACCAAAATAGAACTTTAAAATATCTTGATGTGTAAGAATTCTTATAAAAGCTATAAAAACAACAAATATTACTTAGTCCTTATTTTAATAAATATTTCACAGTATCAAAGGATCTTCTGGTTATTAATATAGATACTGCTATGTATAATTTGATTCATATTTATTTCAATTAATGAGCAACTTGTAGTTAAAAACTGTAGTAAGCTATAATCAGATATAACTTAAACTGCTTCTAAGTAATTATGAAGTCCCAATACAAAATTTCAGGCAAACATAAAAGTTAAATCTTAGTTAATTGCTCACCTCTTAAAATTCCCTAGAATCTCTAATCCAGGCTACAAAATAAGATACATATAAAATGCAGAATACAATGTTTAAGGACCCAACTTTGTTTTGATCACATACTGTTAAACTAATATTACATATTTTATGCAATTTTTAAAAATGTAAGTGAAATGTGAATTCATAACTCAATAACATTTTGGCTATATAAAATTTGTCAGGCTATTCATTAGCATGCCTTACTAACAGTATATAAAAGCTTTTGAAGAAAAGATTTATTGAATAAGTATACAAGGTGAACAAGACCTGCTATTACTCTTAATTAGTTTATAATTTAGTACAGAAGCAAATAAACAGGTAAGACTTTAGTTCTGTGGGTACGTCCTGGGATAGAGGTAAATGCCCAAAGATATGGAAGTATATTGCAGAGGCTAAGAGCATGGGAAAGAAGGAGGCTGTCGGAGTGGCTTGCTCAGAGGGAGTGAAACCCATATTGAGTCTTCAAGATTTACAAATTACCCTGGTGGGGAAGGGGCCCATCTGGAAAGAGGCATTAGCAAAGGCATAAAAACCTCAGAGACCCTGAGAGATTCAGGGAACCAAAAGAAGCCAGAAATAACACTGGTGAGTTTCAGGTAAGCAATTAAGTCTATGTGCTTTACTACACTTGGGACCTTCTCTTGAGGGCGAGAAAGGGCCTGGGCAGAATATTAAGTAGAACAGTGATATGATCAGGTATGTATTTTAGAAAGACCACTCTAGAACTAATTTAAAGATATTCAAGAGGTAAAATAAAGATCCAAAATAAGGAGCTGAAGCAAAAACAATAGCTCTGAAAGATTAAAAATTAAAAATGGGCTGGACTTTGAGATGGGGATGAAGGAGAAAAGGATGACTACTTGTTTTCTGACTTAACTTAGTCAGTGGCTGATGATGCCACCCACAGAAGTAATAAAACAGAGGAGAAATGGAGAAAAATTGAAAGAGAAGAGAGCTAGTGAGTTCAGTTTTTATCTACTGAGCTTATAGATTTACGTACTTGCAGGCAGGGATGTGCCAGAAGGTAGCTGCATATGTAAGAATGAATGCATACTTATTAAAGACTGCCTGAATTCGTCAGGTTAACTGTAACAATAGCTAACATTTATTGAGTTGTTATTCTAAGTGAAGCATGTGCTAAATTTTCCATATAATTTCTTTCTGTTAACCTCCCCACTCCACAGATGAAGAAAAGTTTAATTAATTCCCCAAAGATTGCCAAGTTTCAGGGATGTTTGATTTCAGAGTTCAATCCCTAAACCACTATACTATGTTGTATCATAAAAAATCTATTATAGATTTTAGGACCAGATAAAAGTGGGTTCAATTCTAATCTCTGCCAGCTAACTATTGTTTGACCAGGCTGCTCTCTATGCACAGTTTCTTTTACTGTAAAATGGTGACTATAGCAATTACATTGCAAAGACATAGTAAGGACTGGAGAGAATATATGGAAAATGCTGGATGGAGTGTATTTGCACAATAAATGACACCAATTATTAGGCCAATGCCTAGAGAAAGAATTCTTCTTTAAGTAAAATAACTATAATCTAAGTGAATTCCCTTTCATCTTATTATGCACTTTCTTTTAATTCTACCCTATTTGTTTTACATCTTAATAAATACTAACTATCTTTTTTCAAAAAGTCTTGAGACAGTAATATACAATGCAAGATTTAAAGTAATTTAAATATTTCATTCAAATAGAAATCATTTCAATGTAAAGGAGATTAATTCTGACTTCTTTGACATTTCGATAGTGATGAATGTCAAGATAAGAAAACTCAAAAGTGATAAGTCATGTTGACATTATGAAGAGAGCTTTGGACTTGGAGTCAGAAGACCTGCGTGAAGTCCCAACTCTGATGCTCACCAGCCATGCCAACATGGGGAAGTCACTTAACAGTCCCAAGCATCCCTTCGCACATGTGTAAGATCAAAAGATTGGCCTTTGGTCTTCTATGTCTAATGATGTTGAAGGAGGAAGGATTTTCGATGTTTATAAATTAGAATCATTAATCCATTAACACTTGACACAAACGTTAAGCTCCCTGTGGTTTAAACCAGAAGCACTGATGCTTGATGGCCTAACAAACCACTGCACAGATCAGCAGCTTCAATAACCCTCAAGTGAAGAGTTCATTGTCAGAAAGGGGAAGAGAAACAGACAGTGAGGATCATTTTTCTTTTAATATCTCTTCCATTCTCACCACAAATTCAGCAGCTGGGTTCAAGCAGAGAGACCATAAGGTCACCCTAGATTTCTGGTTCTCAAACCTGGCTGCACATGAACAACAGCAGAAACTTAATTTTTTTTAAAAAAATATATTTTTACTAACTTCAGAGAGAAAGGGAGAGGGAGAGAGAGATAGAAACATCAATGATGTGAGAGAATAATCATCAACTTCCTGAATGTCCCACAGAAGGGATCAAGCCACAACCTGGGCATAGGCCCAACCGGGAATGGACCGTGACCTCCTGGTTCATAGGCTGATGCTCAACCACTGGCCGGGCATTTAATTTTTTTTAAAATACTGAGCTCAGGACTCTAAAATATCACTAAGAGGAAACCAGTATTTGGTCTAAAGTACTGGGATTCATTTTGCAAAAGGTTGTATGAAGCACTTTGGGTAATAACCTCACTCCAATGTTAAACATAAAACTTATTATCTTTAACCTCCACTGTATTAAAAACAAAAATTCGTTCTTGAGTGCACACACACCCTAGGGTGATTAGCTGGATCAACCATCCCAGACTCTACCTGCTTTAGCTCTGAAAGTTCCATGACCTGGGAAACCCCTGGGTCTCTGGAAACCTGGGACAATTGGTCAATCTAACACCACCACCAGCCCTCCCCCCCACACACACACACTTTAAGGTAACCCTCAGTTTGTCAGAACAAAGTACAAATCAACAGCAGCCCTCTCATGAAGCATCACCATTAAGAGGACATCATTATTCACTCAGGTACATACATGGTGACATAGACTCTGACACCATAGGATCCATAAACATGCAATAGCATGGGTGACATATCATCCTGCTATCATCCATGCGATGAATAACCAGAATTTAAAAAAAAAAATAACTACTTTGAAACCCCAGTCTCCCAATTGCCATTTGTAAAAGGTCAGGCAATTTGGAAGAATAATATCTCTACCACTTGACAGATTGTTTATAGTTTTATGGTTTTATAATTTTTCTTACATTTTGATTCTAAGTGAAATTTAATAATAATTTATGATGAAATTAAACAATGCTCCTGTGTGTATGTGAGGACTCAATTATCATTTCTTTTAAATAAAATAATGGAAAAATTAAATTATCTTGGAATGGCATGTATACTTCAGAACACATATACCTCTGTATTTTAAAACTGAACCCATCAAAGAAATCTTTTCTAAAACCACATTATTACACACAAACACACTGCCCTCTGTTGCCTGATAGAAACATTAGACTCTCAGATCAAATCATGATCACATAAGCAATAAAAAAAGGCATCAATCAGCGTAACACACACGTGGTAGGTACACCTGTCTCCTTACTTGTGACATCACTAGTTGTCTGTGAACAGAACAGCATGGACCACAGTTGGCAGTAGTGTGGGAGTATGTGGAAAGACCTCCCATTGACTCCAGTTCCACACAGTAAAGAACTAGTCTCATGGAGACACTACTAATGAATTAGGAGAAAATACCATATATATCTTTTCTAAAAAAAATCATAATCTTAGAATGATTGCCAGCAATCTTGCACACTCTTCACTCTGCAAAGAGCTTAGCAAAATAGGAAACCCTTGAGGACTGTGGTTGCCACCCTTGAAATGAACAATAGGCATGCTAGTAAAATACTTTCTCTTTTTATACGTCTAACATTCAACAACAGATGCACTATCTGAGCACATTTGGAATAAAACTAATAACAGAAATGTATGAAATTCTTTATACTGTCTAAAATATTTAGCATGATTTCAATTTCCTGGTCTTTCTGGCAGTGGCTTAACAAGTAAGTAGACAGTCAAGGGAGACCACAATCGTAAGCACGAACACAATACATTCCCAAAGGTGTGTTTTACGATCTTAAAAGAGGATTCAAAAATCAACTAGAAATATGTTTTAAAAACTTGCTTTTTACAATATATTCCTTTCAGTATGATTTTGAGTAGTCGTACCTCAACTTTCTTCAGCAAACTTGAGATTGAATTAAGACTTACTGATTGTTCATTTAAGTCCTGGGAGTCTTCCATGGGGTTTTCTCACGTCTCCTGCCACCCCAAGTAGAAGCAGCCTCCTTCGATTAAAAATGGACTATCTAAAGCAACAAGATGGAAACAAAAGAGAAAAATGAAATAGTTACCTTTTCCATTTGTTTGCGAAATTATTATTTTTTTTTTAAATATATTTTTTATTGATTTTTTACAGAGAGGAAGGGAGAGAGATAGAGAGCTAGAAACATCGATGAGAGAGAAACATCGATCAGCTGCCTCCTGCACATCTCCCACTGGGGATATGGCCGCAACCCAGGTACATGCCCTTGACCGGAATCGAACCTGGGACCTTTCAGTCCGCAGGCCGACGCTCCATCCACTGAGCCAAACCGGTTTCGGCTGTTTGCGAAATTATTAAAAAAACACCTATGATTTATTTACATGATAGCTGGTAATCTGTAGAATTATTTTTAACAAAATTTTAATATTGTCCTCGTTTTGAAAGAAATAATGATCTTGGAAATCACATCATGGTTAATTTGAGATATGTAAACAGCTACTCAGGACTCCTACACATAATCAAAAATATCTGAGGACAACTTTGGAGACACAGTATGAATAAACACTAAGTCCACTAGTTTGCTGAGAAGTCTTTCATTGAACAACTGATGGATTAAAAATTAAGTCTGCATTAGCCATTCATTTTGTAAAGTATATAAAATTGAGAAAATAAGTGTATATTTTAATATGACAGATTTCTAATTGAGGAAAATGTATCTGAATTAACAGATGATCATTATTCCGTTCTAAATAATATAATGTTACAAAATACATTCTCAATTTTAAAAAGAGAATAAAATAAGATTATTATGATAAAGACAATATCATAAATATACAGGTTTGGCAAAAGTTGGTTTATAGTTTTTCATATGGAAAATAATACAATAATTAATAAATAATAATACAAGAAAAACTCTGTTTCATGTACTCACAACTATAAACCTACATTTGTCCCACCCTGTATATGAGAAGGACCACTGGTCAATTAACTATGGTAATACAATCAGTTTACTATTCAAAAAAAGTTCATCTTTGCTCTATACTATACATTGAAATTTTTACCAGTAACATAAAGTTTAAAAAAACTCTAGAAAATAGGCATATCTATTTTTTTTAATTCTCAGATAGAGGAGGAGGATTTTAAAATAGAAGCAATGAATATAACACACACAAAAATAAAAACAACTACTAGTATGTCCTTGAATACACATACACAAATAATAATCAAAATTAAGGTACATGAAAATATCCCTGGTGACCAGGACCACTCCAGCTCAGGCTCACCTTGGACATGGAGCACATGGTAGTGATGTAAGTCACCAGTCTAACTGATGCTGACCTGCTAAGACTCCACACTGGCCTGACTCTCATGCCCTCCCTCTGTTCTCCCAGGTGGAACTGTGGCTAATCATCTTTAAAATCATTTTCTCCCCACTACCTGGGCAGCAAATTAGCTAAGTACTCTCCTGAAGTGGAGACTCCGATGTTTCTTTTTATTCTAACAGATAAATGGGTAAGATGGATAGTAAAACACAAAGGGAAGGGACAATAGATTCAGCTACATAAAAACAACACAAAAACTTTGCATTTCTGAATACATAAAAACAGCCCAAAAAGTAAAAGGACACAATACATAACAGAAAATAGCTTCAATATATATTATAAACGTGATGCTGGAAACAAAGAAATCAGTAAGAAAAAGTTTAAGGGCCTATTAAATAATTAAGCAAGAATATGAAAACACAAATCATTATAAGAAAATAGAAACAGTAAACAAACATATGGAAAAGTCTTCACTCTCACAATTCAAAAAATATGTAAACTTAAGCAACAGATGTGCATTTTGGATTACTGTATACATATCAATACCAAAGCATTTAAACATTAGTACCCATTGTCAGAAAGGATACAGTGCAAAAAATGGTGTCCTCATTCAATTGCTGGTGATTATGATTCAGGTTAGGGAAATAGGAAATATATTTTCAGAGGATAAAGGAATGTTGCAAAATAAGGGGAAAGAAAGAGGGGGGCACCACGTAGGCTTTGGCCTTGCGGAGTGAACAATGAGGAAAGCAAGGGGGTCCTAAATTTAGAAAGAGTCCAATTAGAAAAGGTCATATTCAGACAAAGAGCTGCAGCCTTTATAAACCCAGAGACAAAGAGACTTGGCGGATTTCAGATTTTACAGATTCAGATTATTTAGATTTTTGCCCCATTAGAGAGAGAGAGAAAGTAGGCTTTTCCCATTTGAGGGCCCCTCTCCAGGGGACCCCTTTTGGGACACCCCTGCCCAGATGGAGTTTGTATATGCTTCCAATAAACTTCCACATTTTTATTAAAGATATCTGTTATTGGGGGGGGGGAAAGCAAAAAAAGATATCTGTTAGTCCACAAATTTAATCTTCATTTTCACTGGACAAGAACCCATGAGAAGAGAAGTCTGCACCTCGAATCCCACGTTTCAATAATATCAAGTTGTCTAACACTTTTAGAAAGCAATCTGTCACTGCATTTTAAATACTATAAATATGTTTAAACTCTTTTATCCAAAATTAACTGTCCTAAGAAGTAAAATTCCCCTACAAAAAGTCACCAGGTATTCACTAGTTTTATTCATAATAAAAACTGAAAACAGCCTCATCTTTACATTGGATTGATTAAACAAATTATGGTCAACCATTTTAATATAATGTTATTTAATAACTCAAAAGAATGATTATTAAAAATGGAAGGGTGAAAATTATTGTGTGTTAAGTGAAAACTAAGAACAAAATGTTAGCTATGCTAACACTAATGTACATGAATTTGAATATTGCTTAAAAGGCAATTTTTTAAAAATATATTTTTTATTTACTTTTTACAGAGAGAAAGGGAGAGGGATAGAGAGTTAGAAACATCAATGAGAGAGAAATATCGATCAGCTGCCTTCTGTACACCCCCGATTGGGAATGTGCCTACAACCAAGGTACATGCCCTTGACCGGAATCGAACCTGGGACCGTTCAGTCCGCAGGCTGGCGCTATATCCACTGAGCCAAACCAGTTAGGGCAAGGCAATTTTTTTAAATAAAATGACCAAGAATACTACATTTGGTTTGATGTACTTTGATTATTGTTGACTTTATGTTGTCTATGCAATAAATACAATTTTTCTCACTAAAATACAGCAAGCATATAGTAAGTAAAATCAAATAATGCTAACATGGTTTAACAAGATCAGTTAAAAATATAAATATTATAGTGAAGATGAATTTTCTAGGTAGATGAACCTCCAAATGGTCTCTGTGGCTTCTTCTAGGTCAGTGGTTCTCAACCTTCCTAATGCCGCGACCCTTTAATACAGTTCCTCATGTTGTGGTGACCCCCAATTTCATTGTTACAAATTGAACATAATTAAAGCACAGTGATTAATCACAAAAACAATTGCAATTATATATGTGTTTTCCGATAGTCTTAGGCGACCCCTGTGAAAGGGTCGTTCGACCCCCAAAGGGGTCACGACCCATAGGTTGAGAACCACTGTTCTATGTGGATTAAATCTCAAAGCTAGAGTACTTTCCTTAAGGGTGGGAACTCTTTTTTTTTTTTTTTAATCTTTATTGTTGAAAATACTACTGATGTCCCCTTATTCTCCCCAATAACCCCCTCCAGCCTGCCCCTGCCCTAAGCCTTGACCAAATTATTGTCTTATGTCCAAGGGTTATGCATATATGCATATAAGTTCTATGATTAATCCCTTCCCATCACCCACCCACCCCCCAAGGGCACTCTTGATTATGTTTACTAGTGTTATCTGTAGTGCCTAGCTCAGTGCCTAGCAAGCAGTAGGAGTTTAATAAATAAATAGCAATTGAATGAATTACACAATTAATGGTGGATAAAATCATGCATAATGTATCTGATGATGTGAAGGAAAAAGTTAACAGCCAGGTAATTTAACTTTTGAAAATTCTGTCTTAAATATGTACTTATTTTTTAAAAAATTCTGTTTTGTCCTACATTGTTCAAGTACATAACTGACTTTATTTTACTTTTCACTTTGTATAAAAGCAGTAAGAATAAAAAATTGGGGGACATTTTATTTGCTAAATGAGAATACTTTACACTTTCAGAAAATTCAATATTGAGAATTAGTCCACCAGATATTTTCCTACTCAAATGACCTAATAATAAAATACTTATAATAAAATTATTAATGAAACCATTCTAACCAATTGTTAACAACATAGCAAGCTGATTTAGTTTCCTAGGGCTGCTGTAAAAGAAATAAATTGGGTGGCTTAGCACAATAGAAGGTATTCTCTCAGTTCTGAAAACAAGTCCTACATTAAAGTGTTGGCAGGTCCTTGCTTCCTCTGGAGGTGCTGTAGGCAGTTAGATAGACACAAGTAGATCAAGGACAATGTGTCAGGTACAGAAGGTCACCAGGGTGGAAAGCGCCAGGTGCCTAGCAATGGACAATCAATTGTAGGGTGGGGCCTCACCTCCAGGGTGACTTTTCCTCCCCTAGGATATCACTGGTCAAGCAATTTGGACCCCCTGACCTTTCCATCCTAGAGACAACATTTATGCCTTTGTATTTCAGCTCCAGGCACAGATAAGCAATAAAACCAGCCATAGCTGATGTCAGGACCAGCTGCATTGAATGACTCCTTGCCCTGCAGGCCAATAAATCAGTGGAGACCATAATCCTGAAAGGACACACCTGGAAAGCTGCTGAATATTCTATTAAGATCTTCTGGGATCTCCCCTAAAATCTCCACCCTTAAAACCCCTAGGATGGAGGACCCAGTGTGCTCTTCCTCCCAAGCCTGTCCTTCCTTTCCTCCTCCCCCTCCTTGCCCTCCCTGCCCCAGACACATTACCATTAGCTTCCTCACTCCCAAGCTCCAAGGGTCCTTACGTCACCTCCATGACTCGTTTTCTAAGCCCATTTCTTCTAGTAATTACTTCTTCTACCTCTGTAATTTACCAAATAAATGTTCTCTTAACTTTGGGTCTTGGCTCTGAATTCTTTCTTAGCCAGAACCCAAGTACCAGGTTGC